TGAATACCATGCCTGGCTCGAGGGAAGAGGCCAAAAAGTATTATTTTTGCTATAATTATAATGAAATAACAGTTGATGTCTTCAACTACATAGATTATCAATTAGTTAATCTTGGAGGAAAATCTACAAATTTCTTATCCTTTAGATGACACTTAAGATCATATCAGGGTTCATGGAAGTTGTTTAGCTGTACTTTAATCTACTATATGCTAGGGTTTATGGAAAAGAATTCATGTTACAGTTGGCATGGCTGCTAGTTCACAATTTCCATTGCAAATATAGCTGGGGGATGCAGCAAAACCACAACTGGTATTTGTATAAGTATGAAAGGAACATAGGGAGGGGGAGAGGAAAGAAAGAGGAAGGAAGGAAGGAAGGAAAGAAGGAAGGAAGGAAGATGGAAGGAGGGAGGGAAAGAAGGAAGGAAGGAAGGAAGATGGAAGGAGGGAGGGAAAGAAGGAAGGAAGGAAGGAGAAAGAAAGGCTAAAGGAAGAGAGGAAAGAAGAGAGGAAGAAAGGAAAGAAAGAAGAATGGACAAGGGGAGAAAGAAAAGAGTGCAGAGAGGAAGAGAGAGGAATGAAATGGGGGAAGGAAGGAGGGAGGAAAGGAGGAGGAAAAGAAGGGAGGAAAGGAAGGAAGGAAGGAGGGAGGGAGGGAAGGCAGGAGGGAGAGAAGAAAAGGCAGGAAGGGAAGAAAAGAGGGAGGGAAGGGAAGAAGGAAGAATGGGAAGGAGGGAGGGAAGGAAGGGGGAGGAAGTGAAGGAAGGAGAGAGGGAAGGAAGGAGGAAGGGAAGGAAGGAGGGAAGGAGTGAGGGTGGGAGGGAAGGAAAGAGGGAGGGATGAAGGAGGGAGGGAGAAAAGGAGGAAGGAGAGAGGGAGGTAGGGTGGGCAGGCAGGTGAGAGGGAAGGAAATAAAAAGGGAGGGAGAAAATGAGGGAAGGAAGCCTTATCTAAAAGATGAAGCACAGGTTGACTCGTTCAGTTGCATTTTCCTCTTCCAAATAAGTTCGTCCCAGAGAGGGTGAAGCCAGGCTGCTCCTTGGAGGCAAGGATTCTGAAGCTCCATCTGACATACTTTGGGCATACTGTAAAGGAGGGACCAGCCCTTGGAGAGGGACATCATGCTTGGAAGGATGGAGGGACAGTGCAGGAGAGGAAGACTCTGGACGAGATGGATTGACTCAGAGCTGGGGTAACGGGGATAGATGTGTTGGAGATGATGAGGTTGGCTCAGGATAGAGCAGGGTTCAGAACTGTTGTACAGAAGGTCACTATGAGTCACAAGCGACTCAATGACACACAATAACTTGTCATTTAATACATGATCTTGGAGTTGTCATAGTCAGTAAATGAAAATACCGAATGCTTGGTTGAATTGTTATTTCAGATGGACACCAAATACTTCCCTTTGTGTAAGTATGGTCTAGGGAATATTTGGGGCATATTAACACTGAAACGTTATTTGTTGTTGATCTGAAATTCCAGTGTGACTGGACAGACTGTGTCTGGATGGGTGGCTGTAGACACTGTTCAGCAGAACCTTCATTTTTATGTAGCAGCCACAAACAGAGAGCAGCACTTTGGCCAAAAGCCATTTCCACTACCAACGTCCAGGCCAGGTGTGCTCTTAAACACACACTAGGTGGCATAGTGGTAAGGAGCTGTGCTGCCAACTCAAAGGCATGTGGTTGAATCCAGCAGGGGCTCCACAAAAGAAAGATGGGGATTCTCCTCCTGTGCGATTAACTGTCTCTGAAAACCCTCCTCTGAAAACCCACTGGAGGGTCACCTATGGGTTGGTTCTTATTCAATGGCACAAAACAACAACACAGTAATGAGAATAATTTCACATCTTTCACTCATGCCTCTCTGCCCTCTGTGTAGTTTCGATTATCCAAGAGTATGTGCTTATTTTATGGTTTCTCTACTCCCCCCCCCCTTTTGTTGTGTGTAGTTGGTTGAATCTGATCCGACTGGCACAGGAGGAGCTTGCCCATCCTTCACTGGCAGAGCATCTGGTGGATTTGAACCGGGCGCCTTCGGGATTGCAGTGCAGCTTCTTGCCACTAGTCCACCAGAGCTCCCTGAGTATGTGCTTCTTAAAAGGCACCCAGAAGTACAATACATACTGAGCTTGCTTCCGCTTACTCACGTTCTAAAGCAGGGCTGCACTCTTAATAGCTTTGAATCAAATGTCAAAGAACGTTGCACTTATCAGTGGGCAGAGCTTGCTGCAGAATTTAAGACATAGCTGAGAAAGGAAAGAAAATTCAGATCGGCACCTGTGTCTCAGAGGAAACTTAGGTTTGACAAAGCTCCCTAAAACCCCAAACCTTGACCGTGCTCTTTCTAAAATACCTGCACTTCTCGCACAACTGTGTGAGCACACGTACATCTAAAACCAGAGCAGTGGGTAACAGGGATTGCTGGTTTAAAAAATGCAAATGTGAATTGCAAGCAGCAGGCCATGTATTCATTTGTGCTGCTCCCAGAGGCAAAGTCAAACCGCAAGGCATTCTTTCCTAGGTAAGGCCAAACGCCAGGAAGATCGAGGCTCGGGCACTATATAGGCCGTCTGGAGCTGACACAAGCGTACCAGTTCCCATAACCTCTTGGCTCCAGGTACAACATGTGGGCCCTGCCATTTCCTCTGAATTAGCCCTGAATACGCGAGCCTGATTGTCTGCAGTTATTTAAGAATCCCAGCAACAAGAGTGATTATTCTGACAGGGAGGAAGCTGCAGCTTCACTTTAGTGGTAATCTTACACAAGAGTCGATTTGAAGGACCTAGCTGGAAATATTCTGTATTCTCTCACTGCGCTGACCAAATGGCTAGCTGGTACGCATTTAGCAGGTTTGTAAATACCTTCCATGTTTCCTAGTTTTTCCTTCAATTATTGGGTTGGTCCCCAAGTTCTAAGGAAAGAGAAGGGAAGAAGTGTGAGGAGCTTTAGGCTTTGATGGAAGAAAACGCCAGCTCTTTTATCCTCCTCTCTTCTCACATATATATTACAATGTTTTGGCAATGATAGTGATTAAAAAAGAAAAGATTACAAACCTAACAGGTGGAAAATTGGTCTTTATTACAACACAAATAAACATTATCTACGTGCCTTCTTCAGCAGGGTTCGGAATCGGCCATTCTAGAATTAGAAACATCTTTTTTTTTTGGTATCTGTCTATGTCCACCTTCTTTTTTTTTTTTAGATCAGAAAAGCATAATTGCAAGTTACATAAAGTGTAAAATGTTATATAGCAAATAAATAGAACATTGCAGGGCCCCAAGCTCACGTTGGGAGATTCAAGATATTTGTTTCGGTTTTTCTTTCAGTAGCGTGAGCTGAACAAATCATGCTTGGAAAGCGAGAGATGAAGCTGGCAGTGAGACATTTTAATTATCATGATTAAAAAAACCCATGCAAACAAAAGGAGGACCGTCTTCGTTTGGGCCCGGGGAGCTGTGGAAGCTATGGGATGTGTGCCCCATCGTCATAAGTGCTTAGATCGTCTCGCACGGGGAGGAAAGTTCAAAGTCTGACATTGGGACTTCAGATTTCATTCAAACCACTGTCGTGACCATTATCGAGCTCCCTACCTGACGGAAGTGAGCCACTTACACACACAAATAGCACTCTCCACCCGGACAAGGGCTCTGGCTTATGGGCCTCCAGGACTTGCTCTGAGAATCTACCTATAAAAACAAATGCTGTGGCAACAGGGCATGGTGAAGGCTTGCATGTTAAGCTGTTACTAGCTGCTCATCATGTGAACTCATCACAAGAGCTCTTCTGTAACTTAACAGGGTGGGACCAGGCCTGCTAAGGAGAGAAGGGTTTTTAGTTCAGGTTGAAATCTACCCTGGGGTGTGAGCTGAGGTGGGGGACAAACCTGTGTGTGTGTGTGTGTGTGTGTGTGTGTGTGTGTCCCTGGCATGTGCGTGTGGGGTGGGGGATATCATGCTGAAAAGGAGAGGCAAAGAGGGGAAGAAAGTACAAAAAAGGGGGCTGAAAGAGATTTGCCAAGACCCAGCCCTGCTTATGAGTGGTGTGGGGAATGTGTGGTGTGGACATCTGCCTAGGTCGTTGACCTTGGCCTCTGTCCCTTTTTCCTGGAGGGGATGCAGGTGATTTGGGCCGTGGTTATGCCACAGGAGCAGAAGTTGTATACAGGATGCAAATGATCTATCTGGAGGCTGAGGGACCCCATGCATGTTGGCAAGGTCTGCTTCTCTGTGTGAAAGGCCACCTCCGGGCATGCACTGCAGCTCTCCTTGTTAAAGCTGGACTTTGCTATTCGTCCAGACTAACAAATAAAGCACAAGATGAGAGGGGACCAGGAGTTGCCTCTCTTTTCATCTACATGTGCTATAGAGAGGAGTATTTGCCTGGAATCCCCTTCTAGAGAACAAAGTAGGATCTCAACCAAGGGAGAAGGGTAGGAAGGAGCAATGGCTGAAAGGAAGCTGCAAAAAGCATTCGTTACAAGTAACAATAATAAAGACCGTGCGCTATTCACTAGCGGGTGACCAACCTCTCTCTGTGTGTGTGTGTGTCAGTTCCTAAGAGCTCCATCTATGTAACACGGTGCTCACCCTGTTATCATGTCTTCAGTCATTGACCTTGTTGGGAGAAGGTGGACTTGTGCCGTGGGATGACAAGAGGAGTCAAGGAAACAAGGTGAAGGCTTGGCTGAGTGGGCCTTGGAGGCCGGGCTTGGGCCAACTAAGGGGACATGGATCATGAAGGCCTAGAAGCAGCAGTAATCTATGACCTTCCTCTCTACACCCATCATACCCTGTTCCCCTGGAGACACTGAGGGAAAGGGGAAGGAGTTGGGTCTTTATGTTCTGGTCTTTCATAAAAATAAGTCCTATTCCAGCAAGCTACTGTCCTGCTGTATCGGGAGACTCTAGCTGCCTCTAAGGAGACACTCCTCCCTTGCAGAAGCTCCTCACAAGGCCACTGTCCCAGCCACCTGGGAACAAACCCATACCTGGAGGGCTATTCTTCATCCACGTCTGTTACAAACTGTGAGTGGTGTTCGGGTGACTTGCTGTGAGTTTTGCTTAGGTGGAGTTTGACTGCGTGTTTGCTCACAAATGTCCGACAGCACAACTTACACTTGAATTTAGAGTCTATGTCCTCTTCGCCAGCTATTGCTTCCGGAGACCTCTGAGCCGACGATACCCGGGAGATTTCCTGCTCCCCCTTGCTTTGCTGGTCCACTGCCATGCGGTTCATGTCCTTCATTTGGAAGCCGAGGTGCGATTCTAAGTGACTGATGTAAGTCGAAGGGGTTCTAAACTGGGAGGCACAGTCACCACAGTAAAAGACAGGGTGTCCTTTGTCCATGTTTTTCAGAAATTTGGTCCCACCCGTTTTCCTCAGTTGGTACTTGACGTTGGCCAGCCAGTGGCTGATGGTGGTCATGGACAGTCCTGTGAACTTTGAGATTTGCATACGTTCCTGGGGACCCAGGTCAGACAGCAGATACTTGCCCTCGGACGTCTGGAAGAGGCTGGAGGCGAACTGAGCTTGCAGAATCAGGAGATGCTGAGGGTTCCAGTTGGACTGCCGGCCTTTCCTTTTATGCAAAGTCGAGACCTCGCTGGAGACGTCCTCGAAGCGCCTGACGTCCATTTCCAGCTTCACGGGAGGGACCCTGGAGGAGGCGGCCGGCTTCGGGGTGGTGGCTTTCGGGAGGACTTTGACCATGTCAGCGATGTCAGACAGGGCGTGCTTCTGAGGCGGGGAGGTACAAGATTGTGCTTGCGAGGAGGACTCTGGCTTCTTGGTTTTGGACTTGGTGAGGTCGATGGGCTGGTCGTTGTTCTCAAACAGGTAACGCCTGGATACACTGGCTGGCCGTGTGGAGGCTGGGCTCAGCACCGGCTTGTCCATGACGTTGACACTGGCTTTGTGGAACATGGACATCGTGCTGGGGCTGGGGCTGGAGGAGGAAGGAGTGCGCAAGGGCTCGGTGGCTTTGCCCAGGTGATTGTTCAAGACGGACTGCAGGGCGCTGAGTGGATTGATGCAGGGCAGGGCCGCAGTGTGGCTGGTGAGCACACAGCCGTTGCTAAGAGCCGGGGACTCCAAGCGCTGCACCTTCTCCTTGCCGTCACCGTCTTTCACCAGCTTGCTTTCCTCCTTCGGGGGACAAGGCTCAGCCTTCCTGGATTCTGAAGGGGGCTCGATTTTGATGCCAGACTCCCCTTCACTGTGGCTGAAAGCTTCTTGGTGGGGACTCTCCTTCCCACATTCCTTCAAGACCTCATCTTTGTCTTCCGACTCCTTCTTCACTTGTGTGTACGGGGCCAGGTTCGCGGGCACAGACACAAGGGGCATGACTTTCCACTTCGGGGCGATGGGCCGTAACTTGTTGGCGAGGTTGGGGCGAATCTGCAGGACCTGGGAGCCCAGAGGTAACGCGGGCTTGGTGCCCTCTGACAGCTGGTAGGCAGCGTGGATGCTGGGGTACGCGCTCCAGCTGGGAGCCCCGTTCTGGGCTTTGTTGATGGCCGTGGTGACGGTATTTTCCAGTGACTTCAAAATGTCCCCTCCGCCCTTAGAGCCGTCCTCCAAATCCTCCTCCCTCAGATACTGATATTTCATCGTGGGGTCCAAGGGCTTCTGCAGCTGGTCTTCGTACTCCTCGCTCCTCCCCACCTTCTTGTCCTTGCTGGCCTCCTCCGCCTTCTCCTTGTCGCCGTCTTTCTTTAGCTCGGTGGACGAGGCCGAGCAGTCAGAAGCGGAGTTACTTGATGGCTTAGGAGCCATGGAGTCGCTGTTGGGAGCATCACACAACGACTGCATCTTCTCCACCGCCAGCGGGTCCAGCACCAGCTGCTTCCCCTTCTTGGAGGCCGAGCTGGTGACCTTCAGGAAGTGGCCCGTGACCATCATGTGTGTGGTGAGCTGCTGCAGGGTGTCGTGGGAGCTGCCACACTCCATGCACTTCAGGATCTGGGACTTGCACGCCTCGAACTGCCAGGTGTAGCTGGCGCCGTTCTGGTAGCCGTAGCGGTTGTTGGCGGACAGCTGTAGGCCGGCGCTCTTGGGGGAGGAGAAGGAGTCTGAGAAGGAGCCCGTGGTGGAGTCGGGCGAACACGGCCGGTTGACATCAAAAACACGCTTCTTGGCCGGAGTCACCATCTTGGAGGAGAGGGTCGGCACCGGCTCCTTCAAAGGCACTTTTTGGTAATGTTTTGTTTTGATCATGTGGACGCTCAGGTCTTGCAGGGAGTCGAAGGAGTCGCCACAGAACATGCACTTCAGGACCTTCTGCGCGTCCTCCTTGTCCATGTCCTGGAAAGCGCGCTTGCGGGGCTTGGAGTAGCTCGTGGGCCTGAGCTTATCCTTCTTGCGGTTGTCGTCCTGGTAGTGGCCGGTCTCGTTCATGTGCACGGTCAGTTCGACCAGAGTGTCGTAGGCCGCGCTGCACTGGCGGCAGCGGAACCTGCTGGCCCCGGTGAACACGGAGCCGCACATCTTACTGCTCTGACGGTACAGCTGCACCGAGCTGAACAGGCTGGGCTTGGCCACCGAGCGGGAGGGCAGGTTCTGCTGCAGGCTTTTGGACAGGGCATCCTGGTGCCAATCAAAGTCGCCCTTGTTGCCATTGCGCGTGTCACAATTCCGCCTGTCGCTGCCGGACAGCTTGAAGCCGAGGCCCAGGCTCGACCAGTAGGAGTCAGACAGGATGTTGGCATAGACGGCCGTCATCTTGTCCATGCAGTTGTGCGCTTCCTTCGGTGGTTTGGAGTGGGTGCTGGCTTTCTTATCCGAGGCATCTCGGCCGCAGGCGCTCTTAGCCTCCGACACCTGGTCGCTGGCATCGCTCAGCAGGGACTCGTTTTCAGCGTCCTGGGTGGACAAATGACTTCCCGGAGAGTTCTGGAAACTGAAGCAGCCCTTCTGCTCGGGGCCTGTATCTAGCTCCTCGTCCGTCCCTGGCTCGTTGCTGCCCTGAAGTTGAGCTACAGATCCACTCTCTTCCTCCTCCTCTTCCTCCTCCTTTATTTCCTCCTCTTCCTTCAGCTGTTCATCATGGGCATAGCCTGTAAGAGAAGAAGAGATGAGATCATGACAGCAGGTCGCACGCTCCGTTTCAATTTCCCCACTTACACTAAGTGCTTCCCATACCAAACTGCATAGCAATTTCATGCACACTTATAAACGATGAACATTACGGCAAGAAAAAGGCAAACGATGCCTTTTTGTGCCAGCTACTGTCCTCCTTTCTTTCCCCTTTATATTGGCAGAAGTCATAATTCTTTATAAACGCCCAGAATCCCAAGTTAATAATTTTCGTGTTTAAGGACTATCACTCCAACATTCCTGTAATGGGTCAGACACTAAATTCATGTGGATGATTTTCAGGAAAGCTGGACTGAAATACAAATCCTATTAAAGTCACGGATCCATGGGGAAGGTGGTTGGCTAATAAGAAAACGGACTTGACCCTTGGCATCTCAATGGCAAGGGCTTCCAGGACACTTGGATATATCGGCTTATAATCATCTAATAAATCATCTCTGGGCACGCACAAGTAATTTGGATGTGTGGCCATTATTTTTTGATAGCCAACGTCTTTTTGTTATAACATTTTTATTTGTTGAGAGTTGCACAGCAGGAAGAGAGATTATGGAGGATGTGAATAGAATCTTCCATCGAGAGCTGAAAAATTATGTAAGCTCAGCAAATACAATGATTTAAAAATAATAGCAAATGGTGTTAGAATGGGAGATTTGGGGACTATCCTATTATTCTCAAACGGGTTTATGAAGACCTTTCCAGACAGGGCTGAAAATGCCCTCTCGCTCTTGCGCCTGTAATTTCAAATGCATGGTGATTTGTGGGTCCCCGTCATGAGATGCCAATTATACATTTGATTTGTAGATGCAAAATGCTATTGGGGATGCATGCTTGCCCTTCTCGGAAAGGATTTAGGACCCGTAATTGCATAGGGAAAATGAAGGCATGAGAGAGCGGGTATGAAGGGAATTAATGGGCAAATATCCATCAATGGTAACGGGGAACGTGACTATTTACACCCAGAGCTTCATTTTCTTCATCTGGCCTTTTCAGGGCCACTCGGACTAAAATGCAACCAAAGACAGGCAAGAGTAAAAGACATTCAGCCTTACATTTGCATCTCAATTCAAGATTTCCCTTATCAGTTTCTCCCTACTCACACGGTCAAGAAGCTACTGTCCGAACTTTCACAGAATGGGTGTTAGTTAAGTTCATTCCTCAAGAGGGAAGTTTGTGGCACAGAGTCATCACTCATCAGTGGTGTGGTCTGTTTTGAGATGCAGGTAGAAATAAAGAGAAGAAATGGGGGTTTGTGAGGAATGAGGAAGCTGCATTCAGGGTACTCCAAAGACTGATGAGGAAAGATGCTATGATGAACATTTATTGAGCAGTTACTATGCCATGGAGTCCCCGGGTGGGGCAGATGTTCTAAAAACTCAGTTGTTAATGAAAAGGCTGGTCTACCCAGAAGTGCCTCAAAAATAAAGGCTTGATACTTTACTGCCAAAACAGCTAAACCCTGAAATAACCACCCACAATCCAGGACTCCAGTTCTACTCTGACATGCATGGGGCTGCCACGCATATGATGTGTGAAGATCAACTCAGTAGCAACTGGTTTCTATGCCCTGTGAGCTGTGGCCACAACTCTGTATGTTAAGCACATTCTTCCATTTCAGTCAAATCTAATATTCACATGTTGTTGTTGTTGCTGCATGTTGTGGACTTGGAACCAACTATCATACAGGAGGAGATTGCCTATCCTTCTCCTGTGGAGCAACTGGTGGATTTGAACCATGTGACTTTGGGATTACGACACAACTTCTCACCACTAGGCCATCATATGAGTAGCTGCTATTCTTATTCTCATCTCAGGGATAAAGGCACTGAGGCTCCAAAGTGAAGAGATTTACCAGTATTGCAGATTTGTGAGATGAACCTAGATCTCTTGAGAGAATCCACAGTTTTAACTGCTAGGCTCCATCGCTGTCTATTACCAAAGGATATTTGACTGAGGTGAAAAGCTTAAAGGGTAGATGGTAGAGCTTCATTGAAAATGTCACTAAATAACTACTTTGGAGGAGAGAATTGCGAGAAAGGTAGAAGCACACATCCATGATTTTAAGGGTGTGATTTCATCAAAACAAGATGAACATGTGAAAAAACACAACTAGCTAATGCAGTCTCTGCCATTTGTGGTTGTGGGAGTGATTTTATAATCGCTGGTGCTCTTCCCTCCTCTCCAAGCAAATTGTTTTCCGTCAGTCCTGACGGAGAGGCAAGAACGAAGACAACCTCAATACCATGGATGACGTGATGGCTGTAACAATGGCCGAGAAGAACAGTAGAGACTGCGAGGATGGAAAAGGATTATGCAGTTTCCTTCTCTTGTGCACAAGAGAGCTCTGAGTCAGGGCATCAAAATCCTGCAGCAACAAGAACAAGCTAGCAGATGCTTCTTTAAACTGGGGCTGTTTCCAGCACCAGGAATTGATTTGAAGAAACAGAAACTACTCGATCTATCCAAGCAGCCATTAATAAGTGGTCACTGCTTAGAAAGACATCTTGTTTAGAAGAGCAGAAGTTCAACAAGAGAGAAAAGACCATCAAGGAGATGGATTGACACAGTGACTTCAACGACAAGCTCAAAACCTGCAGAGACGATGAGCATGACACAGGACCTGGCAGTGTTTTGTTTTGTTGTATATGGACCTCTATGAGTTCAAGCCATTTCAAGGGCATCTAACACCACTTGTAAGGCTGCCCTAGTATGAACTAACTAAATGATTGAGTTAGAGCCCCGTCTTCCAAGTCCCATTTATTGTTATCTTTTCAGGGGCGGGGGGAGGAAATTTATGTGTTTGTAAAAAGTCACACCATTCAGACCAAGGAACAACTCTATGTTATTAAAATAATAAATGTATTGCTATGTTGTTGTTGTTTAAAGGCGTCGAGTCATAGACGACTCATAGCAACCCTATGAACGAACAGCCTGAGCACTGTTTGTACATAGAGTTTCCAGAGGCAAGCCATTTCGGAAGTGGATGCCGCTCCTGCTTCCAGGTTTGATTTAGTCGGGAAGCTCCAGCCAACACTGTCCACCATGGGTGCCCATTACCACAATTGGCACATCACTGTCACAGGCTTCAGCATCACAGCAACCACGAGTTACCTCTGCACAGCAATGCACAGACCAGTGCTACAGAGACAAATAAAATCCTCCAAAGGATGAGGCAGAATTTGTCGATCAAATAGGGTTATTTTTCCCCCAGGATGAAATGAGTAGTGTTACTTGGTCCACTGCATTATCTGAGACTTTTCTAGACAAATTAAGACGTGCAGTTATACCACCTATTTACAGTGTAGTCACAGCCACAAAGAAAAGTGTGTAGAAGCAGAAATGTGCACATAAACACACGTGCACAAATCCGCAGGAGAAAGAGGCAGCTTTCTGTGATCATAATGGAATAGAGGTATTGTTAGATCTGATTCAACCTTGCGTTCTTAGCATCTACCACAAGGGAGTTCTGGTGGCTGAGTGGTAAGGAATTGCACTGGCAGCCCAAAGGCACAAGGTTCCAACCCATCAGCTGCTCCCTGGGAGAAAGACTGGCCACTTCCTCCCTCGTGATTAACAGTCTCTGAAAACTCACTGGATGGTCAGCTAGGAGTCAGTTCTGACTCCCCAGTACATAACAAGAACAACAGCGCAAACAACACAGCAGAGTGTGTTTGCTAGTAGGTAAGGAGTTGTGCTGCCAACTCAAAGGCAGATGGTTCGAACCCAGCAGCTCCTCCAGGGGAAGGATGGGCAAACTCCCAACTTACAATCTCTGAAAAGTTACTGAAGGTCAGCTATGAACTGATTCCGGCTAGACGGCAAATAACAATAACAAAAGCACAACACCTGGCAGTCAGAAGGAAGGCGGGCGATACTTCATGTTATTTTGCAGAAGCATCGATTAAATACACACAAAAGTATGTGGGCACGCATGTTCTTCACACAAGGAGAAAATAAGCGGGTTCCTTTTTTTGCCATTGACATTTGGGAGCCACGCTTTCCAGACTAGCTCAACCTCACAATCCACTTTGTCCTTCTAAATGTATTCCTCAGAAGAAAAGTTGGAGACAGCCAACGCCTCCCCCACAATACAGACAAAATTTTCTGCTTAATTAGGCATTGACATGTTTACTATAACCTTTACAGAAGAGTAACTCATGCTGAGAGACCCTTTTTGTCTGTTTCCCTCCCTGGAACAGACAAACTCCATGCGCGCGATAAGGTAGTGCATTGAAAAGCCGCATAAAAAGGTGCCAGCGCGTCCATCAAAGGAGAGGGCTTTAACAATGGCTGAGGCTTCCAAGAGTTTGTAAGACTATGTTTTAATTTTATACATTTTTAAACTGTTCTCTTGACTTCAGTGATTTGGTTGGTTACTGACAGGGTAGTGGGGAGACCAAAGAAGGGAGAAAGAGAAGTAAAAGATAGAAGAAAGAAGCAACATACGGGCTATCTGTGTGTATCATGGCTGTCTCTCTCTCTCTCTCTCTGAGCTGTTTAATAAGATCCGATCATATGGAAGTCACAGAAGAAGTGGGCAAGTGACAAGTTTACTTTCCCGAATACTTCTTTAACAAGGAATACCATCATAATTATGCCAAGGCATAATAACAAAGCAGCAGCTTCTTTAGAACCTCCATGTTGATTTCGAGCAGATTTCCTTGTGGTAAACATTTTCCTCGCAGCCCAAGTCTCTGGTTTCACCTCTTACCACTGTCGGATTGTGGCCACATGAATTGTCCCTGTTCTCAGGACAGCCAATTCATCAGCCGATCCTGTCAGCTCGACGTCTAAATGACAGATCTGAGAGACCATGTATCTTCCACACCACTGCCGCCATCTAGACGGGACCACCATTATTGCTCACTAAGGCGACTAAGTGGGCTTCCTGCCTCCACTCCCTCCTGTCTACTCTTCAGAAAGTGGCTGGATGGACTTTGTAAAAGATATCAGGGCGTGACAGCCGCCAGTTTAACTCCTTCGGTGTCTAACTCCTCTAAGTGCTGTTTGGTCATTTGGTCGCATTAGAGTAGAATCCACACCCTTGCCCGGTCTAAAGGAACTCTGGT